TTCCTATTTGTATCTCTTCCTTTGTAGTGCTTTAACACAGTTCTTCCAGTTATTCCCCGAGTACCAGTCTAATGAGTTCTATGCAACTGGAGAGGTATGTTGTTTTTTTTAGCTTTGCAAATTAATATTGACAACATGTATATTAGTGGTGTTACACAAGTGGCTTTTTAACTTGTGCACGTTAAAGTATATGTTAATCCTAGATTAAAAAGATATGTAGCACATTTTGGAAGATATTCTTAAACTTTCACGACAGAGTTTTAACCTGTGTGAACTTTCTCCATCTCCTTGCAGTCTTATGCAGGGAAGTATGTTCCGGCCATTTCATATTACATCCATAAAAACAACCCCACTGCCAAAGTGAAAATTAACTTAATGGGGATGGCTATTGGTGACGGGCTCTGTGATCCAGAACTGGTTCGTATCTGGACATTCTTTAACAACATAATCTTGACAAACACATTTTGAATGTCATCTTATTTCTTATCACATTTTAAATTATATATATTGTTTATCTCATGCAATACAAGATAATAATAATAACTATTTTTTCATATATTTCTACACTTGAGACATCAACACACTTCACAAGTGAACGTTTTTCACAGTTCTTTAGCTTCACCCCGTCCGGTGTTGTTGATAGATATACGATGAGTAAAACATTTCACTTTTTTCCATCACAGATGCTGGGTGGTTACGCTGACTTCATGTACCAAACAGGCATGATAGATGAACTCCAACGACAGTATGTCATCCAGCAGACAGACTTTGGGGTTAAACTCATCCAGCAGGAGAAGTGGGTGGAGGCTTTTCAGGTGAGCGATGCCTCTTACATTTGTCAAAATGCAAGATGGAAGTATTTATCATTGTTTGTCTAAATTTGCAATAACTAATGTTTAATGAATACGTCCCTCAAATGCTCTTGTTATCACATCTTGCTGAAACACACATGCTGACCATTTTCTTAACGTCTGACTTCAGGTTTTTGACAGCTTGCTGAACGGTGACGTGGCACCATATCCTTCCTTCTTCCAAAATGCTACCGGCTGCACTAACTACTACAACTACATGCAGTGTCGAGTATGTACAATTTCAAAACTTTTTATACAAATAAATGTCTTCATTAAAACAGTCTTTGCAGCATTTTGCCTTTTGTGCACCACAGGAGCCTGAAGACCAGGAGTACTTCTCCCAGTTTGTGACTCTGCCGGCTGTGCGACGCTCCATCCATGTGGGGAACCTGACGTTCCACGATGGGTCCGAGGTGGAGAAGCACCTTCTGCAGGACGTCATGAAGAGCATCAAACCCTGGCTTGGAGTGTTGATGGACAACTATAGGGTGAGGGGTCTGGGATTATCCATTGTGGTTCTGTTTTGAACAGCAACTGAATATTTGGTTTTAAATTGACAAAACAAGACTACTATCTACTTTTGCCTTGAGAAACTGGGTTGGATATTTTTTCCGACATTACATAAACATGATTTGTTTAAAGAAAATGATTGTACGCTTGATCCATAATACAATAATCATTAGTGGATTCCCCTTTTGAAGGTCCCTCTACTACCTCTCTAATACTCTTTTCCCTATGTGGTCCATTCCTCCATACACCCAGGTCTTAATCTACAGTGGTCAGCTGGATGTGATCGTAGCAGCGCCTCTGACTGAGAGGTTCCTGCCAACCGTCAACTGGACGGGGGCGACTGACTTCAAAACGACTCCTCGCTTCCACTGGAAGGTCCAGCCCAGCGACACAGAGGTGGCCGGTTATGTGAGACAAGTGGGAGAGTTTTACCAGGTGAGCAGGCATCAATGAAAGAAGAAAAACAATGTGAAAAGTAGTGGGTGAACACCTGTTTTAATCCTGCAATCTGTCCTCTTGTCACGCAGGTCATCATAAGAGGAGGAGGACACATTCTGCCTTACGACCAACCGGCGAGGTCGTTTGACATGATTGACAGATTCCTGTCGACACGGGGCTGGATATGAGTTTAAGTGTTTTGGTGCTGAAACGCAGCTGATGAAAGCACATCCACTTTAAAGAGCATATTTTTTATTATTGACTGATTTTAAACACTGATGACTGTCTCAGGCAATGTAAATCAGCACGTGGTTGGATTTATAAATCTTTTTAAATTTGAAATGTTTTGTTGCAGAGGTGATATTTGGTGTGTGCTGCTATTTTATGCGCTGCAATAAAGTAAGATTACTCTGCCTGGATGCAGATGTCTGAATTCCTCCGATATCAGCAAATCATGATAAACAAATAGCCAGACTTACTATCAGGCCTGATTTCAACATAAATAATGTGTGTTTTTTTATTGTGTGAGGAAAATACTCCTTATGATGCATTCAATCTGTCCATGCTTGTTGATGAACTATAAATAAAAAACCCTGAAACCAGTTTGAATAAAAACGTTTTCTTTTTTGTCTTGATGTTTGGGAAACACTCGAATGGAGTTTGCAATCTGACAACCTTTTGTTAAATTGATTTATATTACAGGGATACAGATATGGCAGCACCTGTTGTTGAAACGGATTTGATTCATTAACAAAATGTCCACCAGGGGTCACTGTGCTCAAAGATATTTAATTGGAAAACTATACAAAAACAATCATTTTGCTACCAAAACTTCTGACGTTATTCAACATATTTAAGAAAAGTAAATGCAACAACATTTACGATTATTTGAACTTGGGTCAAAAATCATTATATTACAAAAAATATGGGCCACTGCATATTGTAACAGTAGACAATGCTTGTTGATTTCATTATCGAGTTAGTGACTATTTGTGGATTTAAAGTGTTCTCAAGTTTTAGTTTTTAGTTTGTTGTCATTATACCTCATATGTTTGTGTACTGGGGTTAATTGCCATGTTATGTCAACTATCATGATGTCAAGACAATTAAATAATTAATGAGTATTCTAAACCTTTAAAGCACCTAACTATTTAATGAGCAGTTATGTCTCAAGGACAAGCTTTGGGGAATTGCTGTTAATGGCTTGATGTCAACATTTGTGGTTTTTTCATTGAGTTCTTAAAGATTCTAAAATATTCAACATTTTAATTCTAGTTATCTGCACAAATAATAATTGTGACACTAGATGATCAAATAAAAGTAGTTGTAACATCAAATCACATTAGTTGTATGTTACAGAACAAGTGCTTTATTTTCATACCGTAATGTAACTGCAGTGATACTTTAACATCTGTACATATGCAAAACGAAATGGAGACAATGTCATTATAGACACAACAAATGTACAAAGTTATACAGGCCAGAATGGATTCATCAGTTCATTACATATAAACAATGTATTTAAGCGCTGAAATGAGCCTCGACATACAACAAAAGGCAACAAGTGCTATGTGAACATTATTTACAAACATGTACCACACATTTACTCCCTTCAAAAAGAAAGGTGGTTGCATTACATGTACAGGATTACAGAAATTAAAGACATTATGTACAATATTTATAGTTAAAGATTTAAAATAATACAATTATAACATCATTAATACATAGGAATTGTTCTCCACCTCCCAAAAATCCACACAGACGCACTCACACTGCACTTCCATTTGTCCTTTTTTGTCTGCCTCTGCAATAACAAATGTATTTTTCTGAACCTGGACCCACTGTGAAAAATGAAACTAGAGACTCATGTCTAACTCTAAAAGAGCAACAAATTATTCCAGTTGAAAGTATTTTGAAGTCATTATAATCATTTTCACATGCAAGAGGTTCATTTGGAACGGTCTAACAGTCTAAATATGGTTTAAAAAATAACCTAAAATAAGGCAAGCTTCAGTTCAAAGGGTTGGTACGACAAAGCCCTTTTTGCAGAGTATCCATTTATCTGTCTTATCGACACACACACACACAGAGTCCAGCGTTAACCCATCATAACAGTCCCAATGCTTTGACAAAACTTGAATGTAACCCGTTATAAGGATTACGATTTTCAATTTCACATCCTTCATGAATAAAAAGGGCACACACTACACAGTGCGGGGTCCTTAACTGAGCCTCATCCTACAATATGAGCTCTAGGTTCCCTTCTTTAATCTACACACATGTGATGCATGCCAGGCACAGGCTCTCCGTAAAGCCAAACACAGTTACGTTTCTCGCTGGTGTTTGAAAAAAGGGGGGGGGGGATCACTGAGAATTACTCGGACCTTAATATGGCTATTCTACCCTCTGGCAGGACAGAGGACAAAGTGCATAGACAGCTCTGCGATTGCTCCACCTGTCAGTGGAATGTATTTCATCCATCCTACTGTAAAACACAGTGCATTATGGTCATCATGCTAATGAGTCAACATTCCTGGTCATAGGAAAGAGAGAAAAGAGGGGTTAATATGAGAAGGCGTAAAGTTTCAAGGTTGAGACGGAGATTTAAAAACAGTTAGTACATCCATCCCTCTGCAGAGGAGGCCTGAGAAAGAGAGGAAGATAAATTGATGAAGAGGTCAGAGGTCAGAGGAAAGCGGTTATTTTTCTCCTTGGTCAGCTGGTTTTGCGCTTACATGCAGCAGACATCCATGATAAACCCAGTAACAGAATAAACTCATTAACAAAGCACTCAGAATGAACGGTTTTGATTGTTTGTCTACAGAAAGTCAACAAAAGATTTTAAGAAATATTCAGGCACATTGTGACATTTTGGAAAGCACAGGCATATTCTGCTCCTTTTTGCCAGTTGTGAGATGCCAATCAAACTAAAATAAAAATCATGCTCACATTCACTTTCTCACACATTTCCCCCATCATCCTTTACACACCTGCTGAACTTTGGTCTGCAGAGAAAAGAAGGGCATGCATACTCTAAACCATGGACCCTAAAATCCAGACACACACACACACACACACACACACACACACACACACACACACACACACACACACACACACACACACACACACACACACACACACACACACACACACACACACACACACACACACACACACACACACACACACACACACACACACACACACACACACACACACACACACACACACACACACACACACACACACACACACACACACACACACACACACACACACAGAGAGGCCTCAATAGTTAAAGCTTCAGTTGGTCCTGAAGGAGTGTGTTTCAACTCCTAGCTGCCTCACTGGTATCACAGTGTACAGTTCTGTATCTGTAACAGCATCGTATGTCCTGGGGACCAGAGTGGCTTGGCCATGCTGATCATAATGTGGACATACAGTAGAGAAGATGATCAATACTGGGATGTATTGCTAACATTTGATCATGTTTTCACTGTTGGGCTTGTATTTTATGACACTCTTTAAGAATACCACTGACAGGGAAAAGGTTTAACAGTCATATACTTTTCTAGGAGAGAAAATATCATTACACTTGCTTGCATATTCCTGTCTCCAAGATATCATGGAGACAGTTTGACTTGGATTCAAAAGACAACTTTAAAAGGCAGCCACATCCCACTCACTTAGTGTCTGTTGCATACTTTTAACATACTGTCCATGACTGATATTCAGAGAATGATTTAACTTATCTTTCAGTCCATCAGGCTAACAGAGATGTAAGGTCTGCTAATAGAGAGGACAGTCTGAGGCCTATTTCTCTGTCCTCTGGTTACATTACCACCGTGGTCCATTTTGTACCATTACACAACAGAGAAGTCAAACACTGCATGGGATTAGCAAAACATCCTTTTTGCTAAAAGCACAACAAAAAGAGAGAGTAAAAAAAGAAGCAACAAACCGTTGAACATGTATGCGTTAATAGGGTGGGTCTATAAAAATACATACTGCAGCTACTGTATAAAGAACAGCCTCACAGGCCTTTGAGGTTTTTCTTGATGGAGGGAGATGGAGGGTTCAGCATTTGCAGCTGGTCCCCCTCAGAAAGCAGGGGAGTAGGGGGAGTTTGGGCCGGGTTTATAGTCTGTCTTGTCCCTAGTGGATGGGGTTAATGTCTGTGCGGTGATTTGTTTGCCCGTGCACACTGCTGCCCCCTACAGTTATGGTGGAGGTGGTGATGGTGTTGTGCTGGATGACCTGCTGCTGGGAGCACGCTGGAGCTGGACTCCCCCCCGGACTGCTGTCTGGACCTGAGGAGACATCAGAGACATCAATGAAGACGGACAGCATGTGAGTGGAGTAATATAAACACCATTACCTTCAAGCTCTACACACAGTCTTTAACGTGTGATGTGTTACAGAAAATAAACGATAATAATACAAAATAAACACAGACAAATTGTCATTATTGTAAAAGAAAAATACAGCTTTATTAGCAAAAAACAGATAAATGTCAAACACATGACACACTAAATTCACACCTCATCCGTCACCTGTCATCCCAAATTAGGCCATAAATGGCACAAAAATGGAAAAGTGAATCACAACTCCATAAACACGCCTGATGGAGTTCGGACACATTGAAGGTGACATCTGTATACAAGCTAGACTCATCGATGAAAGTCTGTCCCAGCCCAGACTGGGAGTTGGCTCTCTTCTGAATAAAAGAACCATTCAGCCAAGGGGGATATGAGCCTTTTTTTCCTGAGCTAAAGCCACGCAGGGAGGTGCCTTATCCTAATTACAGAAAATGTCACTTGTATCCATATCAAAGGGTGGGGCTCTGATGTCATGCACGGCTGAGCTGAGGCACAGTCCGGTGATCAGAGAGATTTTGAGGCATCCATGAGAGTTTGGATGCCAAAGTGCCGCTTGTGACGTCTTTCCCACGTCGAGTCTCGGCTGCCTCTGTGCACGGAGGAGGCGCTGTCAGATGGAAAAACAGGTCTCATACGGGATTCAGACTACCAACTCCCAGTCTAGTCTGGCTACCAGAGTGTGCAACACCCATGTGTGAAAGGAAGAGTCCTGCCGCGAGTGTGGGAGCTGGATACCAGCACATAGGAGTGAAGAGTCTTGGCAGTCACTGTTTGTCCATCACAGTTCAGTCTGTAGAGTTTAAATCTTTCCTCTGGCAAGACAATTAACATTTCCCCGCAGTGCTATCTTCAATGTCGGGCTAAGGCACATTGATGAATGTGTGTTTTTAGCCAAATTCCCAAATGTGTGTGTGTGTCTGTGTTTATGTCTGAGCTACTCACTGAGGTAACCTTGGGAATCTTTCTGCATAGTGGTGATGGGACAGTCCTTGTGTGTGAGGAGAAGCTGCTTGAGTTGGGTCACCTCGTTCTTTAGCATGGTCACTTCATTCTGAAATGCAGCGAGAAACACAGAAGCATTTTTAAAAACATATTTCAGGAGAGTCCACAATTTAAGCAGGAGACACTATTAGTTCACCAACTACTAGTATGAGTGTATCGCTGTGTATCAAACATTGTATTTATATATATTTATCATCCTCAGTGTTCTTTTTTTATCCTGAATTAGGCTTTTACATTTTTAACTGAAAACCTGTAACATGGTGACTTGATGTTTTACAAATTAGGGCATTTAAGGCATGGAGAGTCCAGCAAATGTTGCTCTTCAGTTGCATTATGGGAAGTGTAAGATCCAGTGTTTTTGGAGTAATGCACTTTTAATTATAACCATTTGTTTGCTAAGGTCTTTATTGTGTCTAAGTGTAAAAACAGGGTGTCTTGCAGTTCTACAAAGACAGCATATGACTTATCATACTGGACTCAAGTTAATAACAAGGCAACTTATCGCTATCATCTCTGGTGCAAAAAGGGATACTAGTATAAGGTTCTTCATAAGGAACTGAGAAAAACACATGTTGAAGGAGCGCTTTGATATCCCCTCTTTCCCGTTTCTATACTGTCCTCAAAAATGTAAAAAACCTATATATTCAATAATTGTGAGTGGTACATTTAGAAGTTTGGTACACCTAAAGTTCATAGTGTACCTGAAGCTGCATGTTGGTCTGTGTGAGTTCTTCTGCTTTCTTCTCTAATGAAACCACCCACACTTTTCTCTTCTGTCTGCATCTTGTTGCTGCTGCTCTGTTCCGCTCCAGAAACTTCCGCCGACGTTCGTCTGGGTCCTCGTCCACTACCCGCCTGCGCCGCCCTCCGCTTTGTGGCGGAGAATGCATTGTCTGCGAGGGATGCATCTGCTGGGTGGCAGGTGACATCTGCAACAGAAGGGGAAGGTATCAGCATCACTGAGCTCTATGATGAGACTGTCTGCCACCTGTTTCACTGCCCAACAAGCATCTATACATTACCTCCTGCAGCCATACCAAGGTCTGGCAATTTCCCCCCAAAAAAACATCTGGTTGTGCCACGTGCCCTGGGAGCCGGGCCGTGGGCGTCAGGGGTGACAGAGTGAGTGAGAGACTGGGCTGATTCACCAGCCTGCCCACCCCGTTAAAGAGGTGTCAGGAGGCAGTTTTCCACCGCCCACTTCCACTCAGACTAACACCACCAGACACAGTCAAAAGCCTTGTTTCTAAAACTGTACTTACACTGACAGATCTTGACATGTACTTGGCAAGGTCAAGTGTTTTCAGTCTTCAGATCATTACCATTTTATGAGAACCATGGAAAAAACAAGCAGCTTTAATGGCCTCTGTGCATACAGTGAGTGTTTGTATAATGCCTTAATGATGCATTAGGAACATATAGTGAATTGCATTTCTCGATGTCAGACTGTCCTTCTTCCAAAATGCTTAGCATTGCAGAGGATGATAGACAATGCAAGGACAAGTGTCTCACATCATGTTGTTTCAAATGCTGTGAGCAAAACTAAAATTAAACCAAATATATTCTAAGCTAAGATGTTCCAGAACAATTAGCCAAGGCTGTCTGGTCATCAGAACAAACATTTATGAAACCTCTTCTACATCTGAAGACTATTGTGGAAACAAAAGGGCAGCTTGGCAGTAGATTATCGTGTAAAACACAGTTTTCCAAAGACATTTCAAAGCATCTCTTATAATGGCCACTTTACAGCCTCTTCTTGACCCTTGACCTTTATGGAAAGTGTCCTACACTGACCTGTAGCTGACAAACCTCAAAGGGAAAATTATCTTTGAAATGGTTGCCACAAAACTACTTGACATCATAGCAACTGCAAGAGCAAATGTGCTATTCAATTGTCTTACTGTAAGTTTAAAGCACTTTTTTAACTATACTGTGCTGCTATATACTAAACGACTAATAGCTGACCTCAAGACTTCTCAAAGGGCTACTAAAGTGCTGCCTTGTTTTTTGTCACAATACACACATGATATACAGTTGCTTTCAGCTATATGAGGTTTTAATGCGTTATTGAACTTGCGGCTCTGCCTTTGGCTTTTCTAAAAGCTTCGGCTCTCTGGGGAATGTGCTTTGCTTACATGTGAAGCAGAGTGCATCGGATTGTGCGGTGAGGTCTGGTGTGGGTGCCCGGGATGAAGATGGGGATTGTGGGAGTTGTGATGGGGGTTGTGTCCCTGTTGGTGGTGGTGTCCACCCTGTCCGTGGCCCTGGCTGTGGTGGTGGTGTCCGTGGTGCTGGTACGCGTGGGGAGGGGCTTGCAGGTGCTGGTGTGGGTGTGACTGCATGTGATGGTGGGCGTTTTGCTCCTGCCGCGAGGACATCATCTCCATCATGTGGCCCATGGAGTTCATGTTTCCGTTGGCGATGGGACCCGGGTGGTGTGAAAGTGCAGCCTTCAGTCTCTGAGAAGAAAAAATGGAAACAAAACATATTGAGATTTTCTTTATAATATCTTAAGTTTGTACATGCTCTCATCCATCTGTGTGCTGATTATCAACAGTTACAGAGAGCTTCATGTGCTGACTGGGAGATGATGAATGGCTCCATAAATCCATATGTCAGGAGAACAAATCAAAGCCACTTAGGCTGTCCTCTGTCTCTCCTTCAGTCGTGTCATTCTCCCGCTTTACCTACAGTGATTGCCATCCCACCAGTCCCTCCTCCTCATATTCCTAATAGCCTCCCGCTCCTTTATGCACATGTGTGTGTGTGTCTCTGGATGTCTGCCCGTGAGATGAGCTTGTTGGCGAGGTGTGAGCCTCAGACTTCTGCCTTGCTGTTGACCCAGCAGGAGGTTTGTTGCTTTAACCGAGTGGTCTCCTTAGCCCTGACTGTACCGGTGTCTCTGAGCAGCCTGGGAGAGAGGCTCTGTGAAGGTCCGCTTGTGTTCATGTGTTTACTGAATGCAGCTCTCCTCAAGAGTCTGTTTTTATGGGCATCACATAAAGACAACCGCAACATCAGGAAAAAAATCATAATCCAAACATACAAGTGCCAAAGTATGTCTTCAGGCTTCATCTAACGTACACAAACCTAGACCAAATTGAAAAGAAATCCATGTCCTAACCATTTCATGCCTTATTTACATTTAACCGCTTTAGGAATAACAAGTTGAGAGTGTTGAGACGATTGAATTTGATTAATGCACATGTTTTTCCCAAGTGCTGATGTGAATAAATAATGTAAATACTTGAATAAATGCTAAAAGCCAGTCCTATATTCTGTCTATAATTTGTCTACGTTGGACTAAATGTTAGTGACAAAACAAAGGCATTCATTTCAAGGCTACTGTTGAGAATTCCACAAAGTTTTCTATTCTTTTTCGCAGTGCTCTCTTTCCCCTCTCTGTGCTCCCTTCCCCCTTCTCCCAGCTGCTGTCAGTGAGTCCACGCTGTGTCCAGGGCTCCATATCTTTTAACAACCTCCACATTCATGATTCCCATAGGGAATGGCATCCAGCTGGTCTGGATCACAACGCTGAGACACGACCTGAGCACAACATCAGCCCTCCACTCCTCTCACACACTGTTGGAGCGGAAAGCTTTTTTACCAGGAGGGAGGAGACACAGTCAAACAAATCACTTTAGAAGCGGGATGGTCATAAAAGAGCATACCCTCCTGGTTTGTATTATATTTATAAAAAAATGCAAATATGTATTTTATCTAGGGATTACCTAGTAATTGTCTTAACTGTTCTTGGCTTTCCAATCCATACACAGCTTGCATGATATAACTGCACATGAAACCTGCACATGAAACCAGCACAGTGAAACGATGATCTTGCCAAGCCTGTTTTGAGTATAGTTTCTGTTTGTCAAAGGGATGCTTGCCATAGTGGAACAGCTCTACATTTGTGGAGTTACATTATTTTGTGTTTATCTGTTGCCCCTCAACAAGAACGTCATTATACATTTGTTATCTCTTAATGGTAATATTCAGCTGATCACACCCTGCTAACCACGTTCACCACAGCCTAACTCTATAAGGGGCCATAGCCCTTCCGCTTTGACACCAGTAATACAGGGGTTAAAACACCACACTGTGTATACTAACACACAGCGGGGGGCCACAGGCCTGCAGCTGTCCACAGCATCACATTCACACTAAGACTCTCTGAGGGACATAGCTCTGACTTTCTGTAATATCATATAAGTTACACTCTGTATATTGTAATAGTTCTGAACTGTATATCTGTTCTTGATAAACACATGCAGAAATAACAAACAGCCAGTTTACATGCAGCTAAAACAGAAGAATTGATTTAAACAAGCTTACAGTTATTAATCATAATCACCAGTGCTGACGAGGACATCTTCCGTGTATCACAGGAGGAATTCTTAAGGCTGACAGCACACATTAAACAACTTCCCTTCAGCCTTCAGCTTGTCAGTCAGCACCAGAGAGGTGAGGCCCACCCCTCTTGTGAAAGAGAAAACCAATCAGAGTTTAACAATCTCCTGCCACTTAGAGCAGGCAGTCACCTGAATGAACAGAAGCTAAAGGGACCTGCCCCCCCCTCCCAGGTCTACTGTACACTGCTTCTGAGGCCAGAGTAAAGGTCTCTCTGGGTAAGATGCTTATCTGGAGCCACCTGACTCTCTGCCAACACGACTCCCAGGGAGAAGGACAGAGAGGGTGAAAGGGAGGTGAAGGGGTGCAGTGAGAGTGAGAGAGAGAGAGAGAGAGAGAGAGAGAGAGAGAGAGAGAGAGAGAGAGAGAGAGAGAGAGAGAGAGAGAGAGAGAGAGAGAGAGAGAGAGAGAGAGAGTGGGGGAGACGATATGGCTTCTACTGTCTCCTCCCCGCACACATCAGCCCAAGACAGCTAGTGCTCATTTATCAGTGTCTCTGAGAGCTGTCCAGCTGGCAGTGCAACGCTATCTGTTTATTAATTGAATTAGCCGGCATCCGAAGAGGCCCGAGAGTGTCAGAGTACAGAGGCAGGTCAAAGAGCCGAGGGGCCGCTCCAAAAGTCTTACCAGTTATGGTTACAAGCAGGAATGAGACAACATCAAAAAAGAAAAGGACCATGCATGTTTAGTGGATCATACCAGTTTCAAAAGACAAGTTGATATTTAGATTGTTAAACTAAGACAGCATTTGGACTGCAACTACAGTAACTACATTTTCATCATCAATGATTCTGCATAATTTTCTTAATAATTGTTTGGTTAATAACTCTAATTGTAAAATAGGTCCATTGCTGTTTCAAAATCTCAAAGATATTCACTTTAAGGTGACAAACTGACGAAATGATAGAGTGTTGGAGGACTGGAAACAGCAATTTTGCAATTTTTGCAAGAAAAATGCTTTTCCTGTTCATGCAAATAGAAAAAGTACTGCAGGCGATTATTTTGATCTTGATCAACTATTTATTATATAATCTATTGCAACTCCTTACAGTAAATCCGAAGCGAAACCTATCCGATAAAGTAAATAGATCCCAGGGATAATAGAACATATAACGAGGAGAGTATACAGACTACTTATCAAAGGTTATGGCAAGAATTATATTGATATACTCACATTTTTAAGTTGAAAGGAAAACACGTGGTTCAGATTGTGTCAAGTGAAAAACCTTACCGTGAAATATACTTCTTTCTTGAACCTACAGTATGTCCGTACAAGTGCCTGCTACTGCTCCATCTGGACTTGAGACTCCAGCTCAGTAAACTGTCCTCGGCCAAAACTTAAGTCTTTGCATCCATAACCACAATGACGCAACTACGGGACGTTAGAAGAGCGATGATGAGCAGGCTGTGATTCTTAAACACCTTCATCAGCTCCCTAATGACTCTTTAACACATGGTTGTATTTCCCTAGACTGCACTAAGCAAAATAACTTAACCACCACGTTCATTTTACTCTAATAACACACACATACGTATACATTTCTTCTGCAGCAACATGGCCGCTACAGAAAACAATCATTAAATCAGTGCAGGTGTTAGCCTGTGGCGGCTCAGGGCGCTCACACATGGGATGGCACACTGTCTGTCCTGCTGTTGCTGAGAATTGAAAACAACACAGCAAAGACACATCAAGAAGATGAGCAGGCCATGACACCATAAAGACAATGTCAGCTTCTTCCAGGATACATTTATAAACTACGTGCATTTGACACTACATTTCATGCAGTCTGTAAGTGTGCTGAAAGTAGTGAGCTTATTGATTTTCCATTGTTAAAACACCATCTCTGGTTTAGCCATCTTTTGCCCAGAGGGCGGCTGTTTCCTCTGAGACCTTTGCCCTCTGACCTCTCCACTCCCTCTCCTCTTGTTCAGCCTTTCTCATTTATGTGGTTTCAGGGATACCAGGTGATCACCCATTAATGATATTTATTAATGGCTGCCTCCTCTCTGACACGGGGGGCTTTGACTGATGTCCCCGTGAGTGCTCTGGGCACATCCTGAAAACACACTCAGGTTTCTCCTCGCCAGATGACTTCATATCTATTAACCCTGGGAGGATGAAGAAAGAGCACAGAGCAGGTACAAAAGGAGATGATCACGCCCGCCTCAGGATGGGTAAATCACACACAGCCAGGTCAGGGTGAGCACTTTTATTCCCCTTAAAAGTGGAGCAGTGTACTATCAGGGGACCTGTGGCCCTCTGACGCCTTACTGCAGGTTGGAAAGATTGAACCAGTCTGTGGAGTCATTTTTTAAGTGCAAAACGATGACAGTTTCAAATGAAGATCTTCCGAGTCTATGAGGAAACATTAAAGCTTCTCTCTGTTGGTCTGCCAGCTTTTTGTTAACACTACACCAGCACAGTGATCATATTCAAGCACAGCCTTGGTAGTTGAATAATATATAATAATTGTAACTTGCCCTGGCTTTATTTTCTGTGGGTCAAGAACCCCAAACTCACAATCTTAACCCGACATAGTTTCACCATCTGCAGTTAAACCAGGAGTTGTTCTCTTTTGCTTTGCCAAGCACTTAGTGGTTTTAAATCCATCCTTCCCATCTCCATCCCCCCTTACCCACCAGTGCATGTGTGCAAAACCCTCTCTCTGTGCCCTAAAACTCCACACCCCCATTAGTTCCATTTTATTAGATTTCCCTCTCGCCCAGAGAGGCAGTAACGCCCCCCCCCCCCTTCTCTTTCTTTCCTCTCTGTCTTACACACACACCTCTTCCCTGTTCCTCCACCCCCTCTCCCTCTGCTTGCCAAGAGCTGGGGACTGTTAAACTGATTTCCTCGGGGAATGGAGAGGCAGACAGTCTGATGGGAGGGCTGTAATGCCACCCCCTCTCTCGTCTCTCCAGTTCTGGGCCGGGCAGATCAGAGCCGGGGCCGAACAGACCCTCCCTGTGGTTCCAGAGTCAGACGGGGAGATGGATGCAGCCCGGCTGTTCTGCCAGGGCCCGGCGCTCCGGTGGTGCTCGGAGGGACCGT